AGTCAGAGATGGAAAGCAATGGAGGTTTTGATGCAATTTTTGAGTTCAAAGTGTTTGAGGGTGTTTCAAGGCTTGCGAATTCGTGTGTTAGCTTGAAAATGACTCCTCTATTTATAGAGAAAAGGTTTTAGAGGCTCAAGTGATCATAAATCAAAGATCACATGTTATGGTTTTGAAACTTGTTTTTGAAGCAAACTTGAAATACATAGTTTCAATGCATAGTACAAGTATGGTATGAGTAGTTAGAGGCTCTAGACAAGTTGCTTCTGGCTTTGAGATTGTGTGTGTTCATAAGGAACAAGTGCAAAGCTCAAGGAGAGTGGACTTTGTGATTAAAGCCACTTTTCCAAAATGGCAATGTTACCTTTGTGCCTTAAATGGTAAGGTAACTTGGACAATGCTTGAATCACTTGGAAAATGGCTCAAAAATTTGTGTAATCAACTTATTATGGATAGGTTTAGAGGTTAAGGGGCCTGCAAAGCAAGATTATGCAGCATACTTGAAGATTGGATCAAGTGTTCTTCATGAAAAATGCCTTGTAATTCAAGAACGAAAGCTCAACTTCATCTCTTTGATTCTACTAGCTAAAAAATGATCTCTTAAAGTTCTTGGATATTTTGAAAAGCTTGAAACATTATCTACAACCTTCATTTTTACCACTTTGGCTAAATCATCTTGGAACTTGGTGAAAAATTGCCAAGAAGTTAGAGCAAAAATCTGCCTAAACTTGTTGAAAATTTCACTAAGTGTTTTGTTAAAATTGTCATGACTTCGTGGGCCTATATCTCCAAATCTAAGAATTTTTTGGACATAAACCCTTAGGTCCAAAGTTGTTGAATTAATTAAGATCTACAATTTTCATGTTGAAAGTTTTCCTTGAATCATCTTGCACCTTGGTGAAAAATTGTCATGAAGTAGTGAAATTATCAAGGTTAAAAAACAGAATTTTTCTAACTTTGAAATCTTGACTTTTCTTGACTTTCTTGATTCTTGATGATCAAGTTTGATATTTTTGAATGTCTTGATGAATCTTGACCTTTGAAAGTTAATGTTGACCAAAAAGTCAAAGTTTGACTTTGTTCTGGACTGGCCCGAAAGCTTGAGTGGGCCCAGTCTAAGACATCTCATAGGTGCCACCCACTGACCGTGACTCGGATTGCCCGCACATGTCGGGAAATGTTATCCTATTTCCCTTCTGGTTTAGGGTCAATCTAAGATGCCCATCGAGCGTCTCCTTAGCCTACCCAACACCAGCGTCGTGCAGACCACCAGGGACTGACCAGAGAGATGCCCGCAACCAGCCTCCTCCCTAGAACCAACGGCTAGTTACGAGCATATCTGCCCAGTTTGACCAAGTCTTGGAAGTTACTTGATTTTCTCAACCCACATATCTAGGAGGGAAATCAGGAACGAATATCCATGCACCAGGGGCAGTATATAAACCATCACACCTGTGAGGGCCAGGTATCACATATTCACTATCCACTACCTGATATTTTTCTAGTACCTTCTTGCTCTCACTCTTACTTGATCGTTGGAGTACCTTGCATGTACAACCCCCTCTCTCCTCTGCCCGACTGAAGATCATCCTCCGACCACTCTCCAGGTTCTGATTAACTGCAAGATCATACTTTTTATGTATCAGTTGACTTTTCATAATTGATCCAAATTTCAACTATCAATCCCTTGATCTTGAGAAATTATTTGAGCCATGAAATTAGGTCAACTTGTTATGTTTGATTCCTCAATATTATGCTTCAATCCATTAGGTTATGTACTAGGTCAAAAGTCAATGATCAGTCATTCTCAGTTAAAACCCTAATTTTGACAATTTTGACTCTTTGATGATTTGAACGCTTTCCTTGAGGAATTATGATCAACCCTTAATCAATTGATGAATATGACTTTAAAATGTTGATGTTGGCTAAAAATTATGAAGTTTGACTGTATATTGACCATAATTGACTTTTTACGCAATACAGTTGATTTTCAATCATCTGAGCAATTGACTGAACAAATTTTTGATGCAAGACTTGAAACTTGGTATGAGCATTCTTGAATACCTATAATGAGCCATGAAAGTCATTTGAGGCATCAGAAGTCCAATTATCCTTGAGAAAACCAAAACCCTAATTTATGGACTCGGTGCTTAGGAGGTGAGTTTGTCTGATCAACTCTTGAGAACCCTTGAGAATTTGAGATCTTTTGTGAGAAATGTCTTGAGAAAAGAGAGGGAAAATTTTGAGGTACAACAACCTACATTAACACTCTTGAACTTTTTGCTTCCTTACGCTTGGAAATATGAAGTTTTACAAGTAATTTCTGTATAAAGTGAACACCAGAATCCTACATTGGGCTCTCTTATTTATAGTAGTTACGTAATAACTGAACATGCGGTTCAATGAAATACTAAGTTGACACGTTTGGGGCTTAATAGAAACTGCCTCCTAAGATTTAGCCACGTATTTGGCGCCTTGATTCAGAAAACTTCTTGCAACCGCTGTAATATTTAAATTTCAAAATCTATCCCGCCTATAAATTTTGCTTTCGACACCAACCCTTACTGTGAACAAATAATCAAATTTCTCTATGTCTTGGGTTCCACTTTTGTCGACGAACTAAATTCGTCTATCTCGTTATCTCCTATGTCGACTACTAGCTCTTTTGTTCGTCAATTTCTCTTTGTTTTCTATAAGAACTTTCCATCTATCATTTTCTTGACTCTGGTCCTCTTAAAGTTCCTACTCCTGGAAGGCACTTTCCCTTCAGTTCATAGGATTGCCCTACTAACAATGCAATAAATGCTTCAAATAAATTTTAAGGTAACAGAATGTTGATGAATGACAACTCAGTTAACATTTCGTTTTTTTGCAATACATTGAGATATCGAAAATTGAGATGCCTAAGACGGTAGTGGCACAACCACTCTTCTCGACTTACTGTTGTAGCAAGATACCTATGCTCCATCTCCTTCAACTCAATCTTGAAAGTTTTATTGGTAGCCCAGAAGCTTTAAGGACCAAAACCCTGTTTTCATTCATAACGTGTAACATCTTGTCTTCCATGTGAATCTTGTAACCCTTCTCAAGCAATTGGCCAATACTTAGAAGGGTACATTTGATTTCTGGAATGAACAATACATCTTTAATAAAGGAATGCCCATCATCCCTTTTCCTGATCAAAACATCATCGATCCCATAGGCCACTAAAGTGGTGTCATCCGCGAATTTCACTTTATTCTTTGTGGCTTGATTGATTTTGACAAACCAATCCTTTCTCTCTGTCATATGCGTAAAACATCCAGAATTAAAGTACCATTCTTCGACTTCTTGTTCTTCTCATTAAACCGAGTTCGCGAAGCGATCTCCACCTTTTCCTTATCGTTATTTCTCTCCTCCATCCTTTGCTCATGAGCCTCAAGAGAGCTTTGCTCAACGTAGAAAGATCCTTCGACTCTTTAGTCGCCACTGCAATATTGTCAAATTTTCCCGTCAAAGAATGCAAGATCTTCGACACAACATTCTGCTCCGATAAAGTCTCTCCATAAGACTTAATTTGATTCACCAACCGCGTAATTCATGTCACGTAATCATTAATTGTCTCATTTCCCTCCATTTGAATTAATTCAAATTGACGTTTTTGAGTTTGTAACCTTACCACATTTTCCTTATCAGCCCCTGCATATGCCTTTTCCAAGATCTCCCATGATTCCTTTGATGATTCGCAATCAGCAACTTTCTCATAATTGTTACCATCCACACATTGATGGATCAAGAACAACACTATGTATCTTTCTTATTTTCTTCCTTGTATGTAGCCTTTTGTACATCCGTTGCACCTTCGACAAGAGGATTCACCACATTCTTGATTACTTCAAGAACATCTTCGTACCAAAGCAACACTTTCATTCACTAGCACCATTTATCGTAATTCTTCGCATCATGGTTGGTAGGTTTAATAGGAACTCTTAATTAGAGGCAATATTCATGTTGCACAACGAATGATTATGGATCAGAACCAAAGTCTTGATGCCAAATATTGGAACGTCAATCACACAATTGATTAACAATTGAGGGTTTATGGTATGTGGAGAAAGAGATAGTGAAGGAGAAGAGAAAATTAGAGAGAGATAATTGAGGGTGAGAATTACTAATTTCATTCAATCTAAATCAATGTTCATCAATGTACATCACAAACATACCATCAGAGTATTTATACAATGGTTGGGACACAAAAGCATCAAGTAACAAAGCAGAAAAATCAAAAACTCAGGGCGGTAGCCGGTTAACATAAACTGTTAACCAATTACAGCAGACAAAACCAGAAAAACTAAACGTCAAATGTAACCGATTAACGTGTTTGGTTAACCTGTTAAAGCAACTCTAAAAGCACTTTTCTGCAGCTTATTTGACTATTTTTGATGCCATTAACCGGTTACAACTCCGTGTTAACCAGTTTCTGCACTAGAAATACTTCAAAAACTCTTAGCAACCTTGCCCTTTTTTACATCTGCACTACCTATGACAAAATAACTTGATGAACACTAACATCTCATAATTTGTTAGGTTCGATATGGTTTAGCTCATAATTGCAGATACAGTTAGGATGTGCATAATCAACATATTCATCCGTTGGGAATAGTTGCAATATTGCTCTACCTTAGTTCAATCGAGCCTCACAAATTGTAAAAGCAAAGATGAATTATTTAAGGGTACTGTACTACAGAAATATTCAGTGAAAATATCAGTCAGCAAGCAAACCAACGGATCGACAGACCAAACATGTTACTTACAGAAAAAGAATGATATTCAAAATAATGACTTTCAAAAAAATAACCTCCTCAACAGTTCCATCAACCATTTCCTTTCCAGTTTACAATATCCAAATTCATCATCCAACCTTGCTATAGACAGACACACCCTTCCTAGATCCTCAGAACATAATGAAACCAATGTTCATAGCAAATCTATAGACAGACAGACACTCTTAATCCCTATCGTTAAGTAGAAGCCGGAGGAGGAGGAGATGGGGTTGTCTGGGCTGGAGCAGGCTGACTATCCCCACCACCGCCATTATGTTGCCATGGTTTCACAACGATGAGAACAACAACCAAAACAATTATCAGAATCAGTATAATAAGATAACAGGTCCATTTCCTCGTATTTCTCTGGTGCTTCCTTGCCGTCTGTAAATGCTCAGTTCCGGTATGCACAAACGAGCTCGCCCTTGCCACATGGCTCTCAATATCATCCAACTGCTCACCTTGCAATTGTACCGATACTGTCATGTCGAGGAAAACTTGGTGCAATGCCAGTAGATTCTTCTCCAACTCTTTCACAGCATCATGCCTCTCTTGAATCTCGTTGATGGTGTCAATAATTTGACCCCTGCCTTGTTCTTGAATGGCTTTCTGAAGAAAAGTCTCACTCTCACCTGTATCAAAACGAAACTCACATCAAATTTAATGGCAAACTCAATTAAAACTTAAAATCACTAGAAACATATACCTCACACTCTTAAAAAAACTCACACTAAGGAGAATGCAGTACCATAGACACTTACACCAAACCCAATATCAACACTATCATATTGATATCTATAACAATTTAAAAAAATAATAACTAAAAACCATATGTGTCAGACATCAAACAAGTCTTCATAGGTGATGATGGTAGAGAGATATTCTACCGACTGTACCGCAAAAATGACTGCAACAAAATGGTATTTCAAGATTCAGATACTGATATCATTTTTATAATTTTTAATGATAAAAAACAAACCGTAGTTAATTCACACCGCTACTAACACAATCAGTATTCAAATATATGTACAGACAGAAATTAATTCACACTGCTACGAACATAATCAGTATTCAAATATATGTACAGACCCAAATTAATTCACACCGCTACGGACATTATGAATATTCAAATATATGTAAAGACGGGAAATCGCGAAAGCTTTTATGCATCATACTAAGTTGAATCCGACATAAAATTTGTCATAAACACGATTTTAAAATTATAAAAAAATTACCAGTGGAGATCAATAGATCAAGCGTCTTATCATCGGGATTCTCGCCGGTAACAGTAAAATAACGCCGTTGAACAGTCTCTCTATATTCCGAAGAGATAACTTGACGGAGCCGGTTAAACGTCTCCATAGAATCCCTAAGCTTCTTCTTCAACCCGTTGACCACAGAGCTTCTGGTCCGGTCCGAAGACGAACCGGGTCCACACCCAGGCAAATTCCGGTTGGCAGCATTAGATCGTTCCAGAGCCTCCAATTTCAGCTTGACCATCTTGGCTTTCTTCAACGCCACCGAAACGTCGTCGTCCATACGAGAACGGAGCTCCTTCACTCCCTTAGCGTCGTGAACGGTTTTGCTCTGTTCGTGACTCTTGTTTAGTGTCTGTGAAATTTGTTCGAGCTCTTTTAGATCGTCTTTTACGCCTTCGACGTCGTCGAAGAATTTGTCGAGGTTTACTCGGGTTCCGGTGCCGGGACTTCCGGCGTCTGTCATCTCGATGACGTGGTGGCGATCCGGCGGGGAGGCTTCCTCGCTGTGGAAGCGAGAGAATGAATTGGTGAATAGATTGTTCATTTTAATTTTTTTGAGATTGAATCTGAAAAATTAATAATAAAATTGGTAATGACAGTAGAGAGAAGAAGTGGAAGAAAGACTCGGGAGTCAATGGAGTTTAAAATGATGGAATGATAAACCTGTGGGTAAATAGTAGCGCGTGAAAATGCGCGTGGCGTGTGTTTGGTTGTAAGTGGCAAGAAGAGGAAACTTCGTAGTGGAGAGATGGTTGAAAGTGTAAAACTAGGGACGGAAGCGCGTGGAATGGTGTGTCTGATTTGTAAACCAAATTGCTACTTTTTGATTTGGCGTAAAGGAAACTTTTCAAACGCGGGTTAATAAAGGTAGGAAAAAACTCCTGTGTAAGATTATTATTTCATCTCTATCCAAATACTTCACCTCCTCAATAATAATTTTTTAAACATGATTTTTAAGAAGATATAAAAAAAAATTGATTGAGTGTTGTTTCTAGAAAAAATGAGAGAAAAACTAAAATAAATATAATTCGATTTTGCTTTTAATAAAATGAATTTTTTAAAATAAAATAGTTAAATAGAATTAAGTAAAAAAAATTATTTATAATTTGTCACAAGAAAAATAAATAATTTTCTTCCGGATCTAATTTCTTTTCTAAAAATCCTAAGTCTCGTTGAACTAAATATAACATTTAGTGTTGGTCAAATATATGATATTTTAATAATTAATAAATATATTTAAAAAAATAATAAAATTGATTTTGTAAGAAAAAGAGAAGATATAATTTACAAAAAGAATTATGACAATTTTGAAAAAATAATGTAATATTTTGTCTTAATTTTTAAATTAAAGTGTAATAGACATTAAGTGTTATAAATGAAAAAGATTATTAGTATTTGATTTATTGTAAAAATGATGCACATAAAAAACCGAATACAATTAGTATTGAGAATAACTTTAAATAAAACTAAAGATAGAACGAGAGAAATAAATAAAGAAGATAAAAGAATATTAAACATGTTCTAAATAATTAGATGATTATTTTTTAATGATTTTGTTTCTTATTTATCGTTGAGTGCAAATGTGAGTTGAGTTGACATGTGGCGTCTCTCTTGTGGACCTAGAGCATTGGTCCAATTGGTGCTTCCGACTCTCCTTGACTCCCCAATAGTGGTATCAAAGTCGTGGTTCGGTTTGGTGAGGAGCGAGAGCTGAATCCGATGTTGAATCCTTTTATAGGATGTGGGGACTCATATTTGTGAGAGACGACTCATTTATCTAACACCTTAAGATTTTGGGTTGACATGTGGCACATTGTCTGTATATTGTCTTATAAATAAGACAGATCTCTTCGTAGAAATACATCGATGAAATAATACAAAAGTATTCTCATCTTTCTCTCTAGACTCTTATCTTCTTTCTCTTTATTTCATAACACGTTATCAACATTGATCGTACCTGATCAGAAGGCATCTTCAAGGCCCACGAGTTTCAAGTTGAGCAGCGGTTGAATGTGAAGTAGAGGGTACCTGCAATACAATTTGATGTCAAAGTAAGGTTCAGAGCAAGAGCAAGCAAAGTGAGTATGGACCAGTGATTGAATACCTGACCCTCTAAAGTGAGAGGGTTTTTATAGCTCCCAACGTTGGGCCAAGGTCTTTAGTATTGGACCACGATGAGGCCTAATAATAAAGACTGCCAGAGTTTACGGGTGTATGGAGTCCAACACGTGGTCTCCTTCCTGGTCAACTGCCCCAAGAAAGTAGGGAAGTTGGACCCGTTATTCTCGGAGGGCAGGATGATTACGTTATGGACACGTGAGTCATGTTCTTCTAGTGAACACGTGGGGAATTTTCCAACGGTCCTTCATTTGAGCTGCATGCTTTTGGGCCTTTAAAAAGGCGTTGAATTGAGCCTCCCCAACAGTGGGGCAAGTGTTGGTCCAGTCCAGAACAAGAGCCCCTTAAGTTATTTCCCTTAGAAGAAAGGGTGATGACTTGAGGTCAGTTCGAGTGAGTTCGAGTACCGGGGAAGTATTTCCCAAGAGGGAAAATTGTCAACTCTCGTCAGGGACGACTCCATGATTTATGTCGATGAGGACTTAGAGATTTGCACGTGGTGTGATCGACCTTCTCTGAGAGAATTTCCTTTGTCGACTTCGGCTCCTGCTTGTATCAATGTGGTGCCCGTCTGAGATCTACATTCGTGGGGAGGTGAGGAGTTTCCGTGTGCTCACGCTCTCGATGTGCCCGTAAGTAAGGCATTGTAATGATGTCGAGCGTGTATTTGACAACGAGGATGGACTGGCGTAACTGCGTGCCTTTGTGCATGAGACCGTTATTAGCGGTGTGTCCTTTCGTGAGACCCACGTGGCATCTATTTGGGATGCCATCATTGCCTATGACAGTCTAAGAGTCCAAGTAATGATGACCTTTCACACGTTATCCTGTCTGGTAGGGACTATCTATAAAAAGGGGAATAAGGAGATTCACTTGACATTTTCAGGTTCTCTCTTCTCCTATTTCTCCTGCATTCTCCAGCTACTCTGTTGTTCCAACACCGCCATAGACGTCTTCACCGTTCATCTTCTCCAATTAAGAAATTTCGTCTTTAAACGTGATTTTTCTTAGGTTTTTAGATCAGGTGCGTGAATCTTGCTATGAATGGATGAATCTACGAATGAAGTTCATGGATTCAGGATGAACATTCATGGATTTTGGGATGAAGATCCATGAACTTCATCTGGTACATGAATACAGACGAAGATTCATGGATTCTTAGTGAGTTTCATCTTGACTTGTGCCGGGGTCATCCCCCTTTCGAGTGTGGAGGATTCGGGCAAGTTGCCTTGTCGATGAAATGTCCCTGTATAAGAGTATCGATATCCTCCGCGTTCATTATTGAGGGCTTGGGTCGAGGACCATTCCTCGGCGCGCTCATCGCCTTTTTCACTTGATTTGCAGTGGAAGGGTGAATTTGTTGATGTCGAATTCACTGTTTTCCCCTGCTTTTAAGGTACGGTGGCTCAACCAGTCGAGGAAAATATAGTGCATAACATCAACAGAGGCGAAGCTGCGGCCACGGTTGACCCCCTGGTTTGGGTTACGCCCGAACCCCAAAATAAGAGATCATATTTTGTGAAGGATGCTTCTGATGGGTTTAATGTCCCCGAGGACAAGGCATAAGGTGCCCCTGCCTCCTGGGTGCTCCAAATCCCTTATAGAAACAGGAAGATATGCTCGTCTTTCCCGGGAAAATGCTTTCCCATGTATGAATTTTCTTTCAAGGAAACGAGGATGCATTTTCCATTCACTGATTTCCAGGTGGGGGTTTTTCAATGGCTACAACTAGCGCCCTCTAAGCTTCATCCGAACGCACTTGCGTTCATGTGGGCATTTGAGCTTGTCTGCTAGTAACTTAAGATTGGTGCCACTCTGACTCTTTCTTTTGTATCTTCCATCTCCAACGACAGACCATTGACAGGCGACAGGCCTGAGTATCGTTCAAGCAGTTTGGGAAACTCTTCCAACCATACCTGGAATATGTACGAAACTTTAAAGATAAGTACTTCGTCCTGAAGCCTCTTACTGATGCGGTCGCGGATTCTCTGTACAACCGCTTGGAGGAGGTCGAGGATGGTCGGAAAGTGACTAGACTGAGGAAAAAGTTTCCTCTTGAGTGGAAATGGAAACATTTTGAGTAGAAGCTCGAGTGTTACACGGTAAAGCCCAAGGACTTAGATGTCAAGGATAGGCTTTCTTATGACAAGCTAGCGGCTTATGTCAAGAGCTTCTCTCCTGCGAAGTGCATGGACGTAGACAATAACTTCCTTTTCGATGATAACGGGGGGCATCTCTTTGTTCCCCGACTGATAAACACGAAAGCGCTTCTTGAGTGCTCCTCTGACGAGGAGGCTTTGAGACTTCTAGGTAGGGAACGTGGTCGTAGTTCTATTTTTGTATTTTTGACTTATGGACTGACAGTTTCTTTTTTGATTGCAGACCGAATGGCGACTATCTCTGAACGTTTTCTCAAGTTGAGGCCCAATAATCCATCAAACTTGGCGCCCAAAAGTCAGGTTGCCCAACTAGAGGAACATGCTAAAACTTTTGCCTGCCCTAGCGGTTCATCCTCTCCTCAAGGGGCCCAGGTTTCCCCTCCTGAACAATCGTCAAAGAGGAAGCGCGTGGAAGACCCCAAGCACATGGTGGCTATCGACAGGGACAAAGGTGTCAGGGAGAATTTCGTGTTGCCCCCTTGTTTTCTCAACAAAAGTATCTTTAGCGGGGAGAATTCCTTAGGTCTCCATGAAGAGGAGAGGGAATCTATTCTGTCAGCAAATAAAGAAGCCCGGTGAAGAAATCTGCCAGAGGATGTTGACCAAAAATCTTGAAGTTTGACTGTATTTGGGCCACAGTTGACTTTTGACCTAGTATAGTTGATTTCCAGGCATTTGAGCAATTGACTGAGCAAAGTTGTTGTTCAAGGCATGAGATTTGGCATGAATAATTTTTAGGACATATTAGGACAATAGAGAACATTTGGGATACTTGGGACTCACACATCTTACTTAAAATTGAAACCCTAGTTTGAGGTTTATTGCCTTAGGAGGAGAACTTGACTAGTCAATTCTTAGCTAACCTTGAGCAATTGAGGAACTCTAGAGGCATGTCTTGAGTGAAATCAGAGGAAAATTTTTGGGGTACAACAGCTGCCCCTGTTCAATCTTCTTAAACCTGAGGATGTAGATTGGCTGGTCTGCCTTTCGTGATTTGAAGGTGGAAGATGATTGAACACTAGAGTGCCCAGAAATTTGCACTTGTCTAAAATGATACTTGACTGTGTAGATAATATCAAGAATGGGCTTACAGATGCCATTTGGCGAAGATGGCAGAAGATCGTCAGAGATGGGCTTAGAGATGCCATCTAGAGAATGTGACGGAGAGTCGTCGGAAATGGGCTTATAGATGCCATCTAGAACAATGTTGATTTCACGAGATACTCCTTTGTGGGAATCCCTATTCCTATCGTTGAGGAGGACTCCG